GGGGGGGGGGGGTGAAGGTTGGGAGCCGGGCGCGACGAGAGATAGTGTCGGTCTGAGGGGCGCGAGGGGCGCCCTTATCAGCGCAAGTATCTGCCGGGGATTTACTTTTGAAACTGACAGTACTCCACCGCCCGAGCCAAGACCACGGCCAGGCCAGCCTCCCCCACCTGCAGCCCGGCGGAGCCCGGCGCGCCTCGCGAGCCAGCGAGCCATGGCAGCAGCTTTGATATTCCAGCCGTGCTAAAGGAGCAGCGTTTCTATTCGTTTGGCCGACTCCCGGGCGTCGCCCGCACCACCCCAACCACCATTAGCGAAACAGCTCCATTTTTACAACGATAAAGTCGCTGTTTATTACACGGCGACACAGGTACGGGTCGCGGGTGGGGCGGGGCGGGTGCGGAGGGCTTAGCGGGGACCACTTCTTCATTCCGACGGCGCCGCCCCTTCGCCGCGACCTCGGTAACGGCCCTCGGCCACCTAAGGCCATCACCTCTCAACGGCCCCGCCGAGGGCAGTAGTCCGGACCGCCTCGTTTTACAACACGGCCCCCGCCTAGTTACAAAAGAAGCAAGAAAGAAAACCGCCGGGGTGCTTCGCCTGTGCGCCCGCCTCGAATCCAGTCCGCGGTCCAACGCACGCAACGCTACTCGGGTTCAAATACTCGCGACCCGGCGCCCAGTTTTTCACAGCTCCCTGTCACGGCTGACCCCGGTACACTACACCTTGTTGCAGCACTCACCACAACGTGTTGTGTTTTTTTTTCCAAACCGTCCAAACACGTCACGCCGGCGAGGGGCCGAAGGCCGGCACACATCACTCAGCCGTAAATATAGCGATGAATAAACACCGTCATCGGCAGCTGCCGCTGCAGCAGCTGCAGCAGCTGCAGCAGCTGCAAAAGCAGCCCCAGCCAGATTGGCCAGATGGCCCATCAGATGGGCAGCAGGCCCGCTCCCACCCTGGCGACGCCGCCAGCCTCGGCCTCACCTTGCCGCAAAACGCCCGCCGCCACACTTTCAAATTTTCCCGCGCGCCCCCCTTCGTCGCGGGCCCTAACTCACTCGACACGAGGGCGCTCATTAGCGAGGCCCCCGTCGTGGCGGGGCGGGCTGCAGCGTCACGGCGGACAGATAGTTTCGCACCCGCGGCGCCACTATTCGCAGCCAGCCGATGACACAATCACGACCGACGTGCGAATAGTGCCGCTGTCATCAATCGGATATAAATCCCTACCCCCCC